TAGGGGCGGGGCCTTGGGGCGTCGCTCCTGCGTCGGCCGGGGCTGCTCCTCGGCCGCGCTCCCTTCGGTCCGCGGCCGCCCCGCCCCGCCCCTCCCCGCGCAGAGACTGCGCGCTGTCTCCGCCCTCCGCACTCCTGTGACATCACGGCCCGGCAGCGACCGTGCTTCTTAAAGGGGCCGTGTGCTGACCCGAGCGCTGCCTGAGCAGAGGGGCTCCTAGGGGGTGGGCCCATGGCCCGCGCCTGACCCACGGAAGTGGAAGGCGGCGGCCCGGGACATTTAATTAACTCTCACACAGGCCGCGTGGGCCCCCACCCAAGGTGGGGTTCAGAGGGGCGTGGAGGCCTGGGCGGGACAGAGGCGCAGGAGGGGAGGTGGGCAGGGGTCTGGGGCAAGGGGACGCGAGGCGCGGTCCTCGGGGCGGGGGGCGCGGGCTGGGGACGGGGCTCTCGGGGCGGGGAGTGTGGTCGGGGCGGGGGCCGCGGGAGCCGGGGTCTCAGGGCGGGGTCGCGGGCCTCGGGACGAGGGTCTCGCAAGTGGGGCTCTGGGTCCCAGGTGGATCTCAGAACTGTTACCAGTGAAGCGTTTTCAGGCAAAGGCTGTCAACAGGCGCCTGGCCGCGCAGCATGCCTCTGAGCCCCGGTCCCCTGCCCAGGCCACCGTCGAGAGCTATGCCCGCGTGGCTGGGACGGGGTGGCCAGAGCCAGGACCAGCGTCCACCAGGCTGGTCTTCAGCAGCTGTGCGCTCTGTTAACCTGCAGGGTCGGTAGGGACAGCGGGCAGCTGGGCCCTTGCCAAGGAAGGCATCCCCTCTGGAGTTAATCGGGGGATCCTGCTTACAGCGACCACCTAGCCTCTCCACCAAAGCCCGTTTGACTTAGAAACTCAACAGGGGTGATTATGCCCACCCAGAATTGGTAAAGGTGAAGCCGCAGCCTCCAGTGTGTCTGGACGTGGAGATGGCATCTACAGGGAGGTAATTCAGGTTGAAGGAGGCTGTAAGGGTGTGTCCCTTTCCCAATAGAATCAGTGTCTTTTTTTTTAAAAAATATTTATTTATTTGAGAGAGCGAGAATGAGAGAGAGAGAGCACATGAGAGGGGGGAGGGTCAGAGGGAGAAGCAGGCTCCTCGCTGAGCAGGGAGCACGATGCGGGACTCGATCCCGGGACTCCGGGATCATGACCTGAGCCGAAGGCAGTCGCTTAACCAACTGAGCCACCCAGGCGCCCCTAGAATCAGTGTCTTTATAAGAAGAGACCCAGAACACATGCTGTCCCCCACACACCCTCCCACTCCCAACAGAAATCAAAGAAGAGGTCATTTGAATGGACAGAAGGTGGCCGTGGACAAGCCAGGGAGAGCTTTCACCAGAAACCAGACCCTGTGGGAACTTGATCTCAGACTGTGGGTGTCCAGAACTGCGAGAAATAAATTTCTGTTGTTTAAGGCACGTATTGTGTGTCGTTCTGTGGCAGCCCAAACTAACCAGGCATCTCTTGTTGACCTTTCTACAAAGTCAGCCTTGCTAAGGACACCCTTCATAGCAAATGAGGTGTCACCAACGCCCGGGACCTGCTTCCTAAGAAGTAGCATGGCCTCCTGCCCTGTCCTCAGGCTGTGTCTCCCCTCACACCTCTGCACTCCCTGGCCGAGGAAGCTCACCTGCACAAGCATGAGCTTGTTTACTCTGAGACTGTGCCTGAACTAGAGAACACCCAGCCCCGTGCCCCACCCTCGCCCAGCACCCACCCTCCTGTCTTCCCTGTTTGACCCCTCCCACCATCTCCAAGCGGCCGACAGGCCTTCCCATCTGATGGACGTGCTGGCCCTTCAGCTTCACGAAGAAGGATTTGCAGCCCAGCAGCATCTGCCCCTCCTCTGCCACCCCCTGCTATGTCATGCCATCAGCTCACAAGCATGCTGCAGTGTCTCAGATCCTATGAGGTCCCCCATGTCCTATGCCCCTCCTCGCCCTCCCATCTCTGCTCTGTTTACTGCAAACCACTTCCTAGAAGTGACCAGTCTGCCTCGATTGCCAACGGGCCACTCTCCCAGGCCCTCAACTGCTGCTTGCGCCTACACCCCAGTGGGGCCATCCTCACAGTTAGCACTGGCTTCCTAATTCAGCAGCCAGTCCCCACCCATGGCTTCCACCCACCTGACTTACCCCCCAGAAACAGGGTCTGCCCTGGTGACCATGACATTTGCGATCTTGGTCCTCCCTCTGGCTGCCCATCCCCTCAGCCTCTTTTGCTTGCTCCTCCTGATGCTCCGCCTGAAGTCCTGGGGTCCCCAGGCTCGGTCCTGGTTCCTCCTTCCGTTGTGCACACTCCCTGCCAATCTCCTCAGACTTTCTCCAGGTGCCTGCAGCTGCATTGGGAAGGGTTATTTCAAGGCCAGCAGACGGCAACAGATTCCACAGTCACTCCTTCCTTCAGAGGCTCATACTCCAAAGTGCCCACTCACTGATGCATGGAGCCCACGACCACCTCAGGCCCTTGGCAGCCTTGTTTGACTCTGTGTCCCAGAGGCGACTTCGCTGGCTTTTTCTGGCCCATCCGGCCTCTCAGATGCTCTTTCCTCCTTCAGACTCCCCCCACCTGACCCACCCACCCAGTGCCGTGCACACCATCACACCAGCTTTCCTTTCCCCTCTGCCCGTGGGCTCTGCCTCCCTGCCACACAGGCGCAGCCGGCCACAGAGAAATAACAAATATGTGAATCGAAGCCATGTCAGAGCCATCACTGTGCCTGGATCCAGGGATACCCGACTTTCAAAGAAATATTGAACACTACACCTCACCTAAGTTAAAAGCCACGTTCATAAAATCATGGGTAAAAAGGGGGCTTGCTTTTCCTCGCATGTCCTTTTTTGCCTTTGGAACATTGTCCCATGTCTGGATGTTTCCTTTGCCGAAAGAGTAATACCATTTTTTAAGTTTTGCGACTTATATTATAAGTTTTGCAAAGCCCACTTACCCAGCTTCAGGAGAGGCCTGCCCCCCCTGGCATCTGGGTCTGCATCTGCCCCCGCAGTGAGCAGGGCAGAGGAGGGGAGGTGGAGGCCGCCTGAGGCATGACATTGATTCTTCCATAGAAGCCGGCGGCCTCCAACCCGGCCTGCTTGGCCAGATGTTCTCAGGGCTCCCAGACAGAGTTTGGCCAAGTCTTTTGTTACACAACAATATGCTGTCAGCTGCTGTTTTTAAAAGAACAGCACGTTAGCTACTAATACCGTATCATGACTTAGTTTAAGACAGGAGCCCATTTATTTATGGATTCGTATCATCCGATGGTTGAGAGGTCCACAGCTGGGATTCCTTATCCACAAGCCTGCTTAAAAGTCCTCCTTCAGCTCCTAGATGGATAGATGGACAGCACTCTGTGGTTTGCAAAGTGTGTTTTAATCATGTGGTCATCCACTTTCAACACTCCTGCCCGGGGGTGGGGGGAGGGGGTCACCCTTAGTCAGTTGTATGTAGCACACTGGGTCCAAGGTCTCACTCAAGTTGATTCTCTGCATAGAGCCCGGCCGGACCCACAACGAAGGAATCCAGGGCTCTGTCCTCTTGGTGAGGGGCCGGACTCAGTTGCTTTAGCCAGAGGCATATTTGCTGTTAGTAAGTTAACGGCAGCTTGTTACTTCACACTCATCTGGGAAAGGGGGTTTCCGTCCTTCTGAATTATTTGGATTCTTTCTTCATTAATCAGCTCTCTTCGGTAACAGCGATCATTTTGCAGGCACCCATTGTGTGTGAGGTGCTTCACAATTGTTATTTCTGGTCCGCACGAGCAGTCATATGAGGTCTGTATCTGTTTTATAGATAAGAAAACCAAGCTTCGGGAGTAAAAAGCTGGCCAGCTCCACACAGCCAGCCCGGGCAAGCCAGGACGCCAAAGCCGCGGCGATCCTCAACAGCACGTGCGGCCTTACCCTCCATCCATGCGCTCCTTCCTTTACTCATTCACTTATCCGTTCGGTGAGTCTTTACTGGGCGCCCTCCCCGTGCTGTGCACCACCCCAGACGCCAGGGAAGAGGTGCTAACCGTGCCCAGGAAGCTGAGATCACAGCGGGAGAACCAGCGGGAAATGCAGACGGGGCCACTGTAATTAGGCGGCACTGTGCCCGCTTACTGAGAGCCTCCTTACGAAAGCCACACGCTCGTTGTAGAATATCTGAAGTCTGTAGACTTGCACCGAGTGTGGTTAGGAGCCACAACGGCTCGTGGTTTCACAGCAAAAGAAACCACGCACTGTGACTCCTTTGGCGGGACCTCTGTTAAGTACCGTTTGCACTTTGCTCCTCACCCAGCTGATCAGGCCAAACACATGGTCCTAGCTCCGCTGTTTAAAACCCAGAACTCTAACGTAAGTGCTTTCTGACATGACTGAAAACTCTCCTGGAGGCTTTTAATGCCTGAGTCGCAGACGCCTGATGGTCACATCGTGTCGCAAGTTCAGGTTGTTTCCATTTCTGCCCATCAAGCCAGTGCGTTCAGAAAAGGCATTCGACAAAATCTAGCAACTTCTTGTGATTAAAAATTCTTGGCAAACTAAAAATAAAGGGGAATTCCTAAATCTCATAAATGCATCTGTGAAAAATGTGTACAAACACCGTATGAGCGCTGACAGACACCGCTTGTTGCCTGAGTTTC